AGGCGCTGGAAGCCTGCACCCCATGAGCCGCTCCTCACTTCCACTCCTGACACCCTTTCTCCTGGTCCCACTGCTCAGACCATGCCGTCCATCCAGAAACACCGGGAGCAGGGTTAAGGCAGAGACCGGCAGCTTTCCATGGGGCTCGTGCTGCCAGCCCGGCTCCAGCAGGCAGCCGGTGCCGCAGGCAGGGCCAGCAGGCACGGGTGTGCCAGGCTGCCTGCCCCCAGCGTAGGCAGCAGCAAGCCCCGCTCCCTGCCGAACGGCTGCACCTTCCCTACAGCATGCAGCAACGACCTGCTCTTGCTGCCTACTTCTATATCCCTCCCCAAATAGAAAAATCCTCTTCCCCCCCCTCCTTTGAGCGGTTTTGACCCATGTGGGGAGGAAATGCGAGACAGGTTGTGACCTTCCTCTTCTGCCTTCCCTGTTGCAGGGGATGTCATGCAGAAGACACCCAGATACTGTGAGGTTGGGGCAAGAGCTAAAACCAGCGATGGCAAAGAGGACCCCCAAGGAAAGCCAGCCCCCGTTTGCATTGCTGAGCAGCTGCTGCCGCATAAACAAGGCCAGAAATAACTTTATCTCCAGGCGCAGGAGTAAACAAGCAATCAGAAGGGAGAAGGTTTACCCTGGCAAGCCATAGGGAAGTGACCTTGGCAAAACAACTTCAGGTGAAGGGCTGGGCCCGGGAAGGGCCACGGCCACCTGCTTTCCTGGAGCTTAGTCTAGGGCAGGGGGTGGGAAGAGGCTGATACCTCATCCGCCAGCAGGGAAGAGGGGGGGCGAGTCTATTGAGCCATCCTCACTGCCCTTCCCTCCTTGGGAGCAGCCGAACATCTCCGCTCAACCATACTCGGGCACAGCAGGTCGGGGCCAGCGTAGGGAAGCCCAAGACATGGGGCAGTAGAAGCTGCTTATTGTGAGTATCGGTGTGTTGACTCCAAAAAGTGCTTTCTGGAGCAGATAAACGATGGGAAAGGCTGTATGTTATTTCCTGCCTACATGATAAAATCTAGCCACTACAGGTGTGTCCCGAGAGGTGAAGCTTAAAAGCTGTTTCCGTGGGGTGAGGATATGGCTTTTTTGAGGTTTGCAGAGGCTCTGGTGGAACTGTGCTCCTGGAGTAGCAGAGGAGGGGGTCCATGGCGGTTCACCCTTCAGGAAAGCAGTCCCCCACCCTGCCCTGCTCCTGCCCCCTTCGCCTCCATGCATTTCAGCTGCTCCTACAGCCTGGGGTTGGGGTGGCACTTGCAGAGCAACTTTATGGAGGTGTAGTGAGATGAGAGGAACAAACCGGGAGCGGTCCCCTTTGTCCCAGAGTATCAACCATTGGGGAAACTGAGGCAGAGACAGCAGCCGGCTGGGAGGACTGCTGTAATCATGGGAAGGGTCACAAGCTGCTCCCAGCACTGTAGGCAAAACTTTCGCTGTCCCCAAAATGAAGACTTGGGGCTGGGTGCCTCCTGCCATGGGAAAGGAGGAGCAGGGCAGGACACGGGGAGCACTGCCTGCGCCCGGCTGCAGCCCCATGCCCTTCACACCTCCTGCTCCCTGGATCTGTTGGAGGCACGCATGCAGCGGTACGGCTCCTCTCTTGTGCCTGCCTCAAGTCTGTTTAAGGTGTTCACTTGACCCATGATTTCACTCGCGGTAGAGGTGCTACCGCCCAGCTCTGCCCGAGTACCCTGTATTGGGATGCTTCCCCCCGGTTCCTGGCTCCGGCATGCGGCAGCGATGCTGCTGCCAGCGCGTCCAGGGCAGTGCGAGAGCACAGGGCTGGGATGGCTCCTGCGGGTATCAAACACGTAACCTGAGTGATGGGCTTTCAGGCAACCCATTCAAGGCTTTTCACCAACAGCAAAAAAAGGGCCTTGATCTACTTTTTTTTATTGAGCACTGCACTCCTGCTCAGGGAGGTATGTGACAACGTTTAGCTTTAACGAGGGGCTCATCCGGCCCTTTCTCAGCCAACTCCATGCTTTTAAAAATCATCAGTCATGAGAATGGCTTGGAAAAAAAATTCTGATGCACGTTTACTCATGCAGCAGCAAACAGTTTCTCCTTCAGCTGCTGTGTGTGCTTGCACTGTAATGAGCTGTGATCTGCTGCTCACTGCTGGTTCGGGAATATGGTTGTCAAATCACATGCCATTTATGTGTGCAGATGTGGCAGTATGCTTTGAGGACAGGGGTGAGTTGTCTTCTGTTTTGGGGTTCTTTTTATCTTTACGGGTGACCACAATCATCTGTGGATGGCAGAGTATTTATCTACTGCCCCGCAAGAGCAGGCAAAGCCCGGGGCCCACTGTGTCAGAGGCTGCAATAAATGTGATCCTCAAATAACCACATGTTTCCAGGGTAGCAGGGCTTTAGAAGGAACAGCGAATATTGTGAGACTGGCAATCAAATTGCAAGAGTTGATTTCCCTGTATTCTTAGGGGAAAATAGTTCTGATTTATTTGGATTCGTTAATTCATTATTTAGATGTTTTCTGCTTAGTGAATCAGGGAGAAATGACATTTTACAGAAAAAAAAAAAAGAAAATTCTAGCAGACGTGCGTTGAGTCATTTCTGTTGGAGTTGACAATTGCAGGTTGCTGCTTGAAAAGTGACCTTTTGATTTTTACCATCACCCAGAGGCGGCTGGGCAGGATTTGGGAGGGGGTGAGAGCCCTGGCAGCACTCCCTGCCGGCAGCTCACCCAGCCTTGGTGGCCGTGTCCCAACATGCTGAAACAAGAACTGGCTTAAAAAACAGGATTTTCAGTACACAGAACATATCTTATCCATGTCAGTCGAGGAACACTGTGGTTTTAAAGTCTACATGAGCCTCGTGTCACTGCTTTTTTGGCATGGCCATCACAGAGGTAAAAAAGCCAACAAAAGCTGCAGACCGGGCCACGTTCATTATGCGATTTGCTGCCTGCCAGAGGTTCACTGTGTCCTCCGTATCAAACTGAATTAATGATTTGTATTCGGGCAGAGCACCAGACGATCACAGTAAATAATTCTCTATGTAAGCAATGTTTTACTGCATGAGCAGTGAGGTTTGGGTTTTTTTTTTTTCTTTCCCCCCCCAAGAGGTGACTGAAAAGCATCCTTGACTTTAATTTTATTTTCAGCACTTGCAGAGGCCGGGGGAGCAGGCGAGCGGCTGCCTTGGCCCTGCTGCCTTTCCTGCTGCTTGTGGGGAGGCTTTTCCCCGGGCAGCAGAGGGGAGCTCCCTCTACCAGGCAGCCTTTTGCCCCTGCACCCGTTTTTTTTTTCTTTTCCCCCCCAAGAGGTGACTGAAAAGCATCCTTGACTTTAATTTTATTTTCAGCACTTGCAGAGGCCGGGGGAGCAGGCGAGCGGCTGCCTTGGCCCTGCTGCCTTTCCTGCTGCTTGTGGGGAGGCTTTTCCCCGGGCAGCAGAGGGGAGCTCCCTCTACCAGGCAGCCTTTTGCCCCTGCACCCCTAAATCCCGTTGGCCTGGGTCGGGAGGACAGGCAGCTGGTGACGATGGTGGCATGATGCCAGGGAAATCCTGGTCCCGGGGTGAACGGAGGAGGTGTGGGGCTGGCAGGAGGAGGGGTGAGTTACAGGGGGAGAATTTGGGCTTTGTTTTTTGGGAGGCTGAGAAGAGGCATGGCCTGGTCTGTGCCTGGGGCTGCAGACCCAGCAGTAACGCAGCCAGCACCATGCCGTGCCCTCCTGTGCATCCCAGCAGCGAGTGGAGACCCAGGCACCGCTATGGCCAGGGTCGGTCTCATCAGCAGAGCAGATGGAGCTCACGGCTGGGTAAAAGCAAAGGGGCAGAATTTAACCCAGGATATAATATACTGTAATAATGTTTTCAGTGCTTTGATTCACATTTTTTTTTTCTTTTTTCTTTTCTTATTCTAAGCAGCCTGAACTGAGGTGCCTCCAAGCTGCCCTGTCCTGGGTCAGGCCTTCCCTGCAGCAGCCGAACTGGCCATGAGCAGCAGGGCTCCTGAGGGCACACCGGAGCCGGGCTCACCCCACACAGACAGGCCCAGACAAGCTCCGTACCTAGATGAGCACATCTTTATTTTCAGTTCCACGAATGCACATCTAAACTGTCCATAACTCGCCTGGACACGTCACCTAAACTGCTGCTCCTTTCCAGTCGTCCTTCTCGCCCCGCCATGGGACGCACGTTCCCTCTGCACGCTTGTGCAAGGCCGTTAGAGGGCATTTGGGTTCCATTTTTCAGTCACCCAGAAGGACTATCACTGTGAGAAAGTACTATCGCTGTGAGAAAGTAAAGGCAGAGCTGCTGAGCAGCTCTCCTGCGCCGACTCTTGCATAGCTGGAGCAGCTCCAGCCCGTCGGGAGACGGCCCCAACTCATCTTTGCAATTTGTTTTCTCTTTTTCCTGCTTTTCTTTTGGCCTCGGCTCGCGGGGTATGTGCTTGGATGGCAGGCGGTATGTCTGGTGCTGCGGAGCGGTGTCTCCTGCGTCTGAGCTCCTCGCTCGCCGAAGCCCTGCCAAACCGCCAGCGCTTTGGAGAGGAGGAGGCCAGGAGGAGCAGGAAGGTTCATGTTTATTCTGGAGAGATGTGGGGAAGGTGAATTAGAGCTGCCATCAGGAGGACGCCCCTGCCCATGCCCAGGAAGGCAGCTGTCAGGTCACGGGGTGGGTATCGTGGGATGGCTGAGCTTGTGCACGGCCGAGCTGCGCAGCCCGGCGCAGCGGTGACTTGTGGTGCGTGGCCTGATGTACCTGCTCCTTCCCTGGGGGGCCAGGGCGTGAGGGGTCCTGCTGGGGATTTGGGCTTCCTGGTGCTGGAGACCGTCTCTCTTGCAGCCCCCACAGAGCAGAGCTGCACGCGTGATGTGGCAGAGGAGCAGCATCACCTCTCCAAAAGCCCCACCAATCCAGGAAAGGACCAATTCCCAGTTTCTCAGATGGATTCATGCTCATGGCAGGGTTTCCCCATTTCCCATTTCATTCAGCCTGAGAAACTCAGTAACCCTGCCTGGGGCAGTGGGGGTGCACAGAGGGGCAGGTGCTGCATGACATGGGGATCTTGTTCTCTATTGCCACCCTCCGTTGCAGCCAAAGTCCATCAGTTCTTCCCCAGTTTCCCAAGGGACGTGTCCTCTGTCTCCACCGAAACCTCAGTGCCGTGGGCTTGTGCCAGACTCTTTGCCGGGACGAAGCGTTTGCTCCGCAATGCGACCAGGTGGGCATGGCTACAAACGACCTCCTCTTCCCCTCTGGAAAGGTAGAGTGGAGAGTGATGGAGAGATGGAGGGGGTTGGTGGCATGTCCCCCATGTCTAGGGAGCAGGGGCATGTGGCAGTGCAAGTGCCTGGCCCTGGAAAGTGCCAGCTGCGTGCGAGCAAGGCAGTTTTGGACCGTGTCTGCACTGGGGCTGTGCCAGGTTAATTAAAGGGGTGGCAGATCCCTGCCACTCAGGTGTACCCAGGGAGCCAGGCAGGAGCTGCAGATGCATCTCCAGCTATAAGGGCAGGTCAAGCCCACCTCTGTGGCTCAGGGTTATGTGGGGTCCACGGTGCTCTTGGATTCAGACATGCAGAGATCTCAAAATTCAGGTCTGCACCTGCCGTCAGCTGTTTTCCAAGTGCAGTTTCAGGAGATGGATAGTTTATCTGTCCCTGAGACATAGTCAGCTCATGGCTGGGGAGAGGTGATGGGGTGCCCACAGGTAATCGGGGGTCCCATGGCTCGTGTTGGCTGGCATTTCCCTTTCTCGGTCAAATCTATTGCCCAGAGGCACCAGCTTCACTGCGGCCCTCACTTACCACCGGGGATGCTGCCGACAGAGCTGGGCAGGGTCTGGCCATGCAGAGCCGCCTCTGAGTCTCCAGCCTGCAGTACCGGTTCTGGTTGGAGACGCGGGTAGAAAAGCCCATGCCACAGGTGGCCGAGCAGGCGCTCCACTCCGTGCCCCACTCCTGGCAGGGGTATGGCAGCAGTGGGGATGCTGCCCTGGGGGCTGGTTGAAAAGAGATGAAGGGAAAAGGGTGGTTGGAGCCAGGTGCTATGCAGCGTGCCCGCCGGGTGCTCCGGGCATAGCCCTGCATGGCGGGGAAATGAGGTGTCTCCTGTTGGTGTTCATGGTCTGGGGTGAAGAGACCATCCCCAGAGACCTGTGTGGGTATGTCCTGCATCTTACCTGCCCCAGCATCCCGGAGGAGGTGCCGGTCCCGGGCTTCACAGATCCACTCTGGGCAGCACTTCCCCGGGACCTCCACGCGCCGTGGGTAGGGGCAGTCTGGGGTGGGCAGCCGGACATCCTCCTGGCAGAGCGGGACGCAGGTGAAGCCCCCATCCAGGCAGCGGCACTGGAGTTTGCAGCTGGGCTGGAAAACCTCCCCATCTCGATAGACTTGGCCGTTCACCTCGCAGCCCTCCTCGCCATCTTCAACTGCAAGCAACAGCCGGGGAGCCCGTTAGGGACAAAGTGATGGTGAGATGTGGATGGCAGAGGGGACTGCTGGGGGGAACCGTGGGGCTGACACGAAGAGACTGAACTGGGAGGCCACAGAAGTGACTGAAGGGTGTGTGGGGCAGACATGGGTTTGCAGCAGCGTGTGCATCGCCCAGCCTCCTCCCCTTCCCTACCTCCTCTCCTCCCCATCTCTCTGTATTTTCAAAGCAACAGCTCACCAGTTGGTGAGAAACCCACTGCGCTTCAGCTCTGACCCTGCCTTTCAGAGTTTTCAGGCCAGAAAAAGCTTCTCCGAAATTTCTCTGCAGGACCCCCCGGCGCCAGCCCCGGCAGGGTGACTGCAGCATCCTTGGGACCCCTGTGTCCATCCCCACGCAAACCACCCCAAAACCCCAGCTGGCAAACGGCATGAGAGCTGGCTGGAGCTGCAGCACAGCCCTGCGGCCAAGCTGCGTCCATCATCCTCAGTAAAGCTGCTTTCGGAGCCTTAACTGCTTCCCTGAAAGTGCTGCAGGATGCCTGGAGCTGGCTGGGGCCCTGGCTGGAGCTGGGGCGTGTGCTGGGCTGGGGGCACAGGGGCATTCCCGGGGGAGCGGGCAGCCCTGTGCTCACAGTTGCAGGTGGCTCCTGTCCCCGCCGCGCTGTAGTCGCAGATGAGGCCCTGGCTCTGGTCGCAGATGTGGAGGAAGTCGCAGGGCTCGCCCAGGCGCCGGGCACAGATCTTACAGCAGCCGCAGCCATCCAGGACCAGGGGGGACCCACGGGGACAGTGGGGTGGCACCCAGGGGCAGTAGCATGGTCTCCGGCACAGCTGGGCACACACCTGCAGAGGCAAAGCCATCGCTGATTCAATACAGGTTGTTTTTTAGCTAACAGCTGCTCTTTCACTGGGACAGCCATGTAATCCTCTCTCAATCATGGGGGCAGATTTTTGGTGGAGGGAGGCTCTGAAAGTCCATGGGAATACAGCAAAGCAGCCTGGAAAGCTATTGTCCTCTAAAGGCACAGCGTGATGGGCACCCATGGAAACCAGGGAGAATCAGGGATGCTCAGCACTCCGCAGGATCGGAACTTAAATACACCACTGCTCTGAATATAGAGGAGGAGGATGGAGCTGCAAAGCGAACATCCCAGGTAGTGGTGGTCATTTAACAGAGCCGCTAGCCCCGGAGGCAGCCGCACGCTGCCCTAAGCAGCCCGACAGGAGGGAGGGGAAAGCAGCCTGCCCCCATGCCTGCTGCAGGGGCAGCGGGTTGTGCCCAGCCAGAGATGTGGCTTCGCGGGGGCTGAATGCACATGGTGAGGGCGCAGCACCTCACTCTGAACAGTCTTAACAGCTCTCATTTGTGTCAAGAAACAGGGCATCGCATTAGCAGTGGGGGAACTGAAGCCAAAGGAACCTCACTGCTTTCCTTCCTGGTCCAGCTGCCTCCCCTGCCTGTCCCTGGCTGCAGCATCCTCTGCCTGGCCTGGCCCGCTGGGTGAGGAGCCCTGAGATAGGCATGTTTTCAAGGACTGGGAGCTGCATTTCCCCCCCCCCAGCTAGACTGAGCAATTACTTCGGCAGGGCCGTGCACTGCAGTTGTTTGCCTACTCAGCCGGCTGTTAGCCAGGGCTGTGCCTGCAGGAGTTCACCCGGGCAGGTAGGTGTTTATATCCACGGCTCATTCTGCTTGCACAATTACCCTGGCACAAACAGCTTCTGCAGGCAGCGCTCGTGCTCCCGTCATGTCGTATCTGACAGGGCTGTTGCATATAGGGCCTGAAGCCAAGTGATTTGGCTCTGCAGTTTCGAAGTGAATTCTTTGCCAGTACTGGCCTAACAGTGCACATGTGAGCCCCACGCAGCAGCTCTGAGCCGCTCTCCGGCAGCCCTGCCGCTCTGCTTGCTGCATGGCCAGCACGTGCAACGCAGGCAGCAGTTCAGCAAATGTGCAACCAAAAAATTCAGCCCTGTGCTGGTCAAGATGCTGGTGCCTCTGCTGAGACTGCTGAGAGATCGATGGGTTCAGCTGGACCATGTGGATTTTAGATACCATGTTTCTTTCTCTTTTAGTTTCTCCCAGTAGCATCAGGTCTGACATGACCAGTTACAGAGAGAAGGTGGGTGCTGGTGTGCTATCTGTTCCCCATTTGCAGCAGTTCAGATGTTTTTTATGGGCCTGTAGAAATGTCAGTGCCAGGAGATAAAATATATCTGAAATGGGCTGGGCAGTCTGAGTCTTGTTCTAGTTTTATCAATGAGCACCATTGTGTGGCAGAAACCAGAGAGAGACTCGCGGCAGGGACCGAAGGACTGGCTGTGGTGGCCAGGTTTGGGCTGGAGGCACGAGGGCTCTTGGTGATTCTCCAGGCGCTCATGAGCGCCTGGGGCAGGAGTCATTTCTCCGTCACAGGCAGCCAAGGGCATTTTTCATCTTTCAGGAGGTTGCTATTACAAATCAATGTTTTAGAAAGATTAGCCAAGCCAACTCCATTAATCCATTTCCCCCCCGCTCTTTGTAATTAACTTGTCTTTAGATGACAATGTAGCTCCTATCAGAGATCTTAACTGTCTGGGAAAGGAGTCAAATAGGCACAATGCTGCCATGATGTCCCTGCTTGCAGAAGGTCTGCCTTGGGATTCAAGAAGCAATTAGAAGAACTTGGAGCTGAGATACCCAACACTTTTCAACTTTCCCATTCTCTGCACAGCAAGTATTTTCACACAGATCCAAGAGGGGAAAAAAAACCACACTACAACAACCCAAATCCTGTTGGAGGCATTGGCTTTGCATGAGCATCCTGGGGAGGGGGGGGAGAGCTGAGTAATGCCGAGGCTGGTGCTCGCTGCTTGGCCCCCTGCCTCGGGAGCTTGGGCAGGGACCAAGGAGTCTGCAGGAGCCGCTACCGCTGAGCTGCTGCTCGCTGACTCGCACTCTTTGTAATAACTTGTCTTTAGATGACAATGTAGCTCCTATCAGAGATCTTAACTGTCTGGGAAAGGAGTCAAATAGGCACAATGCTGCCATGATGTCCCTGCTTGCAGAAGGTCTGCCTTGGGATTCAAGAAGCAATTAGAAGAACTTGGAGCTGAGATACCCAACACTTTTCAACTTTCCCATTCTCTGCACAGCAAGTATTTTCACACAGATCCAAGAGGGGAAAAAAAACCACACTACAACAACCCAAATCCTGTTGGAGGCATTGGCTTTGCATGAGCATCCTGGGGAGGGGGGGGAGAGCTGAGTAATGCCGAGGCTGGTGCTCGCTGCTTGGCCCCCTGCCTCGGGAGCTTGGGCAGGGACCAAGGAGTCTGCAGGAGCCGCTACCGCTGAGCTGCTGCTCGCTGACTCGCAGGGACGCATACCACAGCCCCGGGTGTGGGAGAGCTGCAGGGACAGGGCGAGCAAACAGAGCGCATTGCTGTCATTCCTGCGTGCTCCGTGGACTTGCAAAACAGACGCCTTTGGCCCATGGCCGTTAAGACCCTGCTGCTTAATTGCAAATGTCTCTCACAAGCATAGCTCTGCCCCTCGTGGGATTGCATAAATACAGCTGGTCTGCCAGCCGGCATTAGCCACCGGGCTCGTTGAAACACCCCAGTCCTCCCTGCATCTCACTTTCAAGAACCGTGTGCTTTCCAGACGAAGGCTAAAGCCACCCCAGAGCCCCGTCTCCCTTACCTTGGAGAGGATGCAGAGGAGGGAGAGGAAGAGGAGCTGCTTCTCCAGCTGGAGCCTCATGCTGCTCTCCCCTCTGCCACTTCAGCACATCACCCCCCAGGCAGTTTGGAGGCAGCGGCGTGTTCGCAGGTTTTAAAGCCCCGAGTAGGTCCTGCTGGTGTTTATACTCTCCCCGCTCTGATGTCACTCACAGGCTCCAATATAAACATGAGTAGGTTTGGACAAGCCTCAACATTTTCTTTTTTTTTTCTTTTTTTTTTTTTTTTTTTTTTTTTTTTTCCAGCCCACATTCCAGCTGCCCACATTCCAGCTGCCATTTCCACTCCCCTCAAGGTGAGAACGTGCCGTCCACCGAGACAGGGAGCAAAGGGAAGGGACCGTCTCCCCAGCAAGCATGGGAGAGGGGCTGGGGAGCCAGGCTGGTGGGGTGAACCCTCTCCTTGCTGCTAGCCATGACCGGGAGGGAAGGTGCATGCCTCTTCCTGCTGATCGATGTCTGCCCAGACAGAGCCGGTATCTTTCTTCTGGGTTTTGAAGGGTTTGGCGGGGCTGTCCCCGCTGCCAGTCTGGGACATTGCCACGACCAAGCAGGAACAGGGCACCCACCCCTATATTTTATGCTGAGCGCAGTGCATGGCAGGCTGCGGGAGAGGGGTGAGTTGCCCACACTGTACAGAGCCCTGAAGTCAAGGGCAGGATCCTGTCCCTCCATCGCTGGGGACACCGTGTGACTTGCTTTTGATTGCCAGCAACTCAAGCTGCAGTAGTTTGCCAGGCAAGCTCTCCAGGCCGTAGAAGTGCGATTCCCTTCTGAGTTTCTCTGGCACGGCAAGAGCATGAAAGGGATTTGCTGGGGGGGGGGGTGGTGCTGCCACAGCATCCCCCGTCCTGCGTGGGGCTGCGGCTGCCCAGGGAGGCTGCTGGGGCAGGGGGGGTTGGATGCACATCGTGTTGCATTGTCCCGAGGCTGGTACATGTTGCCGAGGGGGCTGCAGTCTGGCCCTTGCAGAAGCGCTGCTGATTTCAAACCTTGTAAACCCCAGTTCAGCTCCTGAAAATATGACCGGCTTGAGCAATCATGAGAATTTAAAATCCAATTTCGAGGAAGAGGAGCGGGTGCTCAGCATTTGCCTCCCAATGCTTTACCGCTTTGCCATCTGCCCTGTCCAAGTTTTCCTCGCTCCTGCTGTGTCTGAGGACTTGAGGCTGGCTCTTAGGAAAGAAAAAACTAAACATCTCAAGACCTTCAGGAAACTGAGCCCCTTCTCTACATTCCCATCCCCCGGATCTTATCACAAGACGTACGAAGGGGAATTTGTGAGTTCAGAGCTTGAAGGAAAGGCCTGAGCTCACATAAGGATGTGGGGTGCCCTGCAGCTCTCCCCAGCCCCTCTCCTGCACCCCCTTGCCTGCAGGACATGGTCTGGGGGCCGGCAGTGCTGCTTCTGCCCTGGCCCAAGGGACAGATCCTGGCGGCTGCGCACAGACATTCCGTGTCTTGCAGGCATGGTGAGAACTGCTGCTATATATCATATTTTATGATATATGTTGGCAAACACACAGGAGGAACTGGGTGCTGTATAAGCAAAGCACTGAAATTGTGCAACTGGGAGTGATGCCCCATCCCTCCCTTCAGCCTTTTGTCCCTTCCTTTTGCTTTGCAAAACAGGTCCTCAGTCATCTGAGCAGCCATCCCAACCTCAGCTCCGCCACTCGCCATAGCCTGGAAGCCAGGGCACGGAGTGGGGAGGGCAGAGCCCGGCAGGGAGGAGCACGCAGTCAGAGCTCTCCCGTTACCACCCCGATTCCCCGCTTTGGTTTTGCTTCGTTAGCTGCAATCAGTCTGTTAACGAGGTCATGGCTGCTTGTGGAAATACCAGGCCACCTTCCAAAGGCTGCTGTCACTTATCCCGGCGCTGGAGTCTCCGCTCCTCGTGGAGGAGCCCCAGCTCCCTGCGTTACCCAAGCCCTGCCAGGAGGCAACCCTGCCTGTCGCAGGGGAGGCGTGAGGACCGTGCATTGCTCCGTCCTCGCTAGCAGGGGGGTTCAGGCCCTACTGACGGGTGCTCACAAGCCAGAAGGTTGGATGCCAAAGGCTGGAGGCACATCTCGTGCTGCCATTTCCTCCTCTGCTCCCCAGAGCTGACGCCCTCCCGCCGGCCGCTGCGTTTCAGATGCTGCGGCTCAGCCAGACGTCCCAGGGGCGGCTGCGGTGGCTCTATCAGCAACGGCTCGATAGCAGCCAAAGCGCTGATCCAGCCTTGCCACAGGGGGACAGGGAGTTCGATTAATTATTCCAGGCTTGTGTTTATTAGGGACTTCTGATCAGTGGGCTTGACTTCATTTCCCAGTTGGAAATCAGGTGACAGTGCTGGTAAGGGAAATAAAAACCTCTTGGTGCCCTCAGTGAGCAGCTTTGGGAGCAGCCAACACCCCCATGTGTGAGGCCTCGGGGGGCAGCGAGGCACTCCCCGGGGAGGCTGGGGCTCAGGGCTGCTCAGGGAGCCCACTGCCTGCCCTCTCTTGGGTACAGGTTTGGCTTTTTGGGTGGGGGCCCCTTCTTCACCCTCTCCCTCAGCTTGGGACAAGAGGGGACATTGTTTCCCTCCCCCCCCCACCTGATGTCACTGAGATTTCGCTGCAGTAAGGTGGCATCACTGTGATGGTATGACATCACCAGGAAGCCAGCAGAGCTCAAGCAGCAACAGAGAGCTGCGGCACCGAGTCAAGCAGCGGGACAGGGGCCGAACCTGCCGCCCTACACCCAGGCCGCTGCCCATACTTCAGATGGCATCGGCAATCCCTGGCGGTACCTTGCTGCATTTTGGGGGTGCCCAGAGGAGCCAGCCGGAGGGGTACCCACAAAGTCCACCGTGACTCTGCCTTCCCGAGGAGGCTTTTCCGTGGGCGACATGGGCTTGAGCTTCCCTTCTCCCAGCTCTCGGGATCCCACATGCCCACCCAGGTCACTGTGCCGGGGGGCCAGGGGCTGCAGGCAGGGCCCGGGAAAGTGATACAGCCCTTGCACAGGTTTTGATTTGCGAAGCTGCACGAGAGCAGCACATTAGCAGTTCATTTTATAAATACTCAGTTATAACCCTTCCCCTCTGGAGCACGTACCCCATATGTGTTCTGTACCATACGTGTGATTTCATAGCTAGTAATTAAGTCCATATGTTGTGCTCCGCAGTTTCCATGGTATTATTGTCAGGATTTTTGGGGGTTGTAATTTTTTTTTTTTTGGTCAGTTGTGCAAGAAAATAGTTGATACAGGGATCTGAATACATCTCCTTTGAGTTAGCCGATGGCAAGCTCTGCTGTTTCTATATGGTCAGTTGCAAGAAAATAGTTGATACAGGGATCTGAATACATCTCCTTTGAGTTAGCCGATGGCAAGCTCTGCTGTTTCTATAGAAATGAAGGAACTGACCCAGTGAATTTACATTTTAGACAGCTGGGTTTTTTTCATGTCTGTGCCATTTAACATGCCATTGTGAATAACACTGCAAAGCTCTCATTTGTGCACTCTGCTCAGCTGAAATTGCATCCATCTGTGATGGATATAGACCATATTCTCCTTCCATCCCTTTCCTTTGCTCGAGACTCTCCCCTTCTTTACTCTACACCATGTGTTCAACAGCCTCCCTAGAGCTGGCTGAAGTCAGACCAGGGTCTGGATGTCCATCTCTGCCGAGGAGCACCTAGGCTGTCCTGGGTCCTTGCTGGGTCTGTTCCTATTCATATCAACAGTGGAATCATGGGTCTAGGGTGAGACCAGCTCCATACTTTGGTGGGGACGACGTTCCCTTTGCTTCTGGGCACCCCTGGCTCAAATCCCTGCTGCAGGGGAGCAGGGCTGTCCATGGAGAGTGGACAGCACTGGTGGGGAAGCTGGACAAACACCCAGCTTGGAAAAGCCAAGAGCCCCGAGATGAAAAGGAGACATCTCAGGTCTCCCTCAGCTGTTGGACACTTTGGGGTGGCTGCTGGCTGTTTTTCATGAGACTTCTGGGAACACCCCGGCTTTGGGAAACTTTGAAATACCTTTGTTTTTGGCAGGATGGGGAAGTTGTTTCCTACCCAGTACGAATCCGGCTCCAGTTTCAAACAGCACTGAGAGAGGTGGTGATGGCCATTTCCATCCCTGTCTGGCCATTTTTATTCCCTCTGGTTCTCGCACCTTAACTGGGGAGTGGAGCCGGGCTGGGAGGACTGGCGACCCCGAGGGATGAGGGACAGGCCAGGCAATCTTTTACCTTGAGGTCACTGCTTCCACCCCAGACCCAGGCTGGGAGAGACTGAAAGTATTTACCATCTGGTGCCTGTCCAAGTGACTTGCGAGAAAAGAATTCAGGGCTGCCGTCCAGTTTCTGATGGTCAGGCAACTGCATCAGAAAACCTCGGCTTCAACTGGGACCAGCTGACCCCTCCAAGCTCCCAGCCGCCGCGGCGAGTACAGCGAGGGAGCGAGCAACAGCCAGGCATTGCCCTCTCCAAAGGAGAAAGGGTCTTTCGGATGGGGAGCGGTGCATGGTGGTGGGGACACTTGATCCTTCACCATTTTCCAGGCATTTTTAAGTAGGTTTCATTAGAAAGAAGCACTGATAAACGGGACTCGGTGCTGGTTCTGGTCTCAAAGTCTGACATTGCCAAGAGGAAGGAGCTGAGCAATTACACAGGGAGCAAATGGACTATCACAACCAAGAAAGGGCTTGCTTAGCCAAAACTATAGTGAGATCTCATTGTTCAGACGGGGGGGCTTCTCATTAGTACAGCCCAGCCTTGTATCAGCTGTTGTGAAGGGACAAGGTTTTTTCTTAATAGACATATCAAACCCTGGGCAGTAATTCTGTGTGATTTTTTTTTTTCTGCAGTCCAGATGACAGCAATTCATAATTGTGCCCCTAAGTTAAACATTCAGATAACCCAAAGAATAAGACTTTTGTAAAACAAAGCCTGGAAACTTCAGCCAGATGAGTCTTTCCATTATTATTTGGAAAACAGTGTCAGAAATCATCACGTATCAAACTTTATGATCCTCTGAGAGTTTATTTTTGGTA